AGTAATGAGTACTGAACATTTGTTTTTTAGCTTGACTGTTACTATGGTGTACATAATGTGTCCCAATATATTAGCAGGTCTTGAAAAACCCAGCACCTACTAAGCAAGGGATTAGCCTTCTCATGAGGGTGAAATACACCACTTCCCTGAGCTACTCCTTCATCCCTAGCCAGACCCACCTCCTCCCTAGTCTCCTGTTGGCTGGGTGCTCTCCATTGCTTGGATTCAAAGACACTACCACTAGCTAAATTTTGTACCCTAATTAATTCCACCCTTACACCAAAAAAATCAGTGTTTTTCTCTGACCACAAGATAAATTAATGCCCCATACAGTGAATTCAACTTATGCTGGACCTACAAGCAGAGCCCTCCACTTGGTAGCAGAAAGGCATAAGTTTCCCTCTCCCTCTTGGGCCAAAACAGGGAGCAAGAAGCTGAGGAGCAGGAAGGCCTTGATCAGCTGGAGGACGAGGAGCTACAGGCCCCCTGTCTGCTGCCTCCCATCAGAGGGATCTGAGGCAAGAGTCTGTTCTACCACCTCAGAGAGGGCTTGGGATGGGGGTGGAATGGAGAAATGCAGAACCCTGCTGCTGCTGCCACAATCCTACCCACGCCCTATGCTGAAATGATCAAGTAGCTCACACATTGCCATATCAGTTTATTAGTCTGAGTTCTAGATGACTACTCAGGCTTGTGTAAGATGCATGAGGCATATCTTGGTGATTCTCATGGTTGGTCTAACCCTTGGCCTATCTGAAGACTGGACTGGCTGAGGTTTTCTCTTTTTTGTTTTGTTTTTTGTTTGTTACTGTAAAGTGATATAAAACTTCATGAATAAAACTGACAATATAAAATTGGTTTCCTTTCTCAAACAGATACAGTGGAAACATTTCAACGTAGAAAGAAAGAAAGAAAAGAAAATGTATTGAGGGGATTAAATATAGGGGAACAGGAGAAGAAGTGGGTAAATTAAACGTTCCTCCTGTGTTTTCTCTTAAGTGAGCACTCCAATTTAGTCCTTTTCCTAAAATAACTTGAAAAAATGCTACAGGCACAAATCTGTATGCCTTCTCAGAATATCCTGTGTAGATTTGCATGGTTGCAAGTTTCTAGGCAAGTGGAAGAAGTTTTCCATCTCCAACAAATAAGCAAAAGTTGAATTAACATCCTATTATGTCACATTCTTGAAAGTACCCAAAGACCAAAATTCTGGCGTGCTTGGCAATGAAAGGCAAGTGTGCTTTTTTTCATTGTGATAAAAAATTGACTAATACAGGTCTGTCTCATCTTACGCTGGGGTTACGTTCCGCGGTAAAGCGAAAGCGTAAAGCGAAAACCGTATATAGTCAAAATTACATTAAGTGTAATGGTGGGCAGAATCGCCCACACTACAGGAAGAGTATTTAAATTGTTGTTTTTCTCTTTTTTTGTTTTGTTTTTGGCCGACCATGTAAAGTTGAATTTGCGCATGTTAAATGCGTGTAAGATGCGAAAGACCTGTAGAGAAATCCGTCACAGAAGACTTACTAATGTTTATTGGTGTCCAGTAGTATGGTGGTGTGATCTTGCGTTTAATTTAAACTCTAATACAGTGATTTTTTTTTAAATCTTTTTTTCATTTGTGGGACATAAAAAAAAGTTCAAATGGATGTATGGACCCCTTGGGAAATCTTAAACATAGTCTGCAGATCCTAGGGGTCTACGACCACAGGTTGAAAAACACTGCTCTAATAGATTTGCTGAAACAGAAGAAATGTATTTATCACAGACATATGGAATCATGAAACTTAAGTGTTGAAAATGGAGAAATTGCTATGCATCATCTTTCCACAACTTTCCAAAGTTCCTAAACAGGATTTGCTCAAAGAAATTGCTCAGAATACTGGCCATTTTGACGTCAAGCTGACAAAGAAATAATATGTTCCATTTGTGTGTCAAAGTTGTGAGATAGTAATTTCACTGTTGAAAAAGGTGGAAGTTTATCAAAATAAACTCATATTTTTCCAACCAATTCGCAGGACCAAAGTGAGTATTAGATTAAATGGGTGTAAAAGGGAGAGTTACTTCTCACTTAATTTCTATTTCCCTGAAGTAAGTGCTCAAGCTATCTGGGAGTAGGAGGAAAGGAGCATTTGAATATAAAGATTTATGCTTGTCAATCCGTAGAAGTTGTAAAAGATTTTCCCATACTGAAGAATGTGCTATTGTCAGTCAGTGACTGACAGGAGAACCTTATTTCCAAGCCAGTTTGGTTCTTCTATCTAGGGCCCTACCAAATTCACAGCTATGAAAAATGTCATGAACCGTGAAATCTGGTATCCCCCCAAGAAATCTGGTCTTTTTTGTGTGCTTTTACCCTATGCTATACAGCTTTCACATGGGAGACCAACGTATCTCAAATTGGGGGTCCTGACCGAAAAGGGAGCTGCAGGAGGGTCATGGTATTGCCACCCTTCTGCGCTGCCTTCAGAGCTGGATGACTGGAGACCAGCAGATGGCCTGCCACCCAGCTCTGAAGCAGCGCCCTGCCAGCAGCAACGCGGAAGTAAGGGTGGCAATACCATTACCATACCATACTGTACCACCCTTACTTCTGTGCTGATGCCTTCAGAACTGGGCAGCCAAAGAGTGGTGGTTGCTGACTGAGGGCTCAGCTCTGCAGGCAGCAGCCCAGAAGTAAGGGGACACTACCGTAATGTCATCCTTCCTTCTGCGCTGCTGCTGGCAGCGGTTCTGCCTTCAGAGATGGGCTTCTAGCCAGAGCCACTGCTCTACCGCTGCTCAGCTCTGAAGGCAGCACCGCCAACACCAGTGCAGAAGTAAGGGTAGCAGTACCACAATTCCCCCTCCAATAACCTTGTGACTCCCACAACTCCTTTTTGGGGTCAGGACCCCCACAATTACAACACCATGACATTTCAAATTTAAATAGCTGAAATTGTGAAATTTGTGATTTTAAAAATTCCTATGACCATGAAATTGACCAAAATGGACTGTGAATTTGGTAGGGTCCTACTTGTATCCTTTAAGGACAATCTGCCATGCTTGATATAAGCAAAAATGATGAGCTTTGTGGAGTACCTTTCCCCACCCCTGTTAAAACTAGTGATATCTGTCTTTTGAAGAAGTAAGCCATAGGCTGAAAACTGAAAGTAACATTTTCAAGAAATCACTGGCCAAAGGGGAGAGAGCTCTGCTGTGCCTGCTACCTAGGCATTTAGTAAAAGTATAACCATAGCTTTTTGGTGGTCTGTTCTTAGTTCCTACCTTTCTACCAGGCAGGGCAAGGTAGCTATACAGGTTCTTCTAGCTAGTTTCTGAGCACAGGCTATGGGTAGAGATTTGCAGTTTTATAATGTGTAATAAATAACATCAATAAACAATGCTACATACAGGTGCAGTCATCTGAAATATGGGTTTTATTTCTCATACTAGTTGGAAAGTCCTATATTTGCTTCTTTAAGAACCACTGTTAATATTTTGTATTTCTAGAGTGTCCTCAGAAGATCTTGAACAGCTTTTGTGATCCTTTTCACCACAGGAAAGTAAAATTAACCTCAGACCCTATGTATGTTCCAATTTTACATGTACAAGAGATGCTAGATCCTTCTATGCATATATGTACATTATTGGGGCCTCATTTTGATGGGCACTGGTCAAAGAAACAATAACACAATCCCTGTTTTAAGAGGTTACATTTTGAAAACAAAGAAAAAGCAGAACACAAGTAAACTAATCAAAGCATGAAATGAGTCTCATTAGTTCCAATGGTGTTATTTTGCAAAATAAAATATGGCCACTGCCCTTCAATTAAACCAGTTGTGGGCAATCTGCGGCTCATGGGCCACATGCAGCCAGTCAGCGTAATCCACTGGGGCTGCCACAATTTGTTTACATTTGCGTGGCTGCGATTCCCCATTCCTGGCCAATGGGAGCTGCGGGAAGTGGCATGGACCGCAGGGATGTGCCAGCCGCTGCTTCCCGCAGCTCCTATTGGCCGGGAATGGCAAACCGCAGCCACTGGGAGCTGCGGGCAGCCTTGCAAATGTAAACAAACTGGCAGCTTGCCAGTGGATTACCTTGACAGGCTGCATGTGGCCTGTAGGCTGCAGGTTGTCCACTACTGTATTAACCCCCCACATCTATCTATACTGCTTCCTGCCATTTCCTTTGGAGCAGGGTTAGAAGCAGGTTTGGCCAACTTATGTGTCTCATGCTAGAAAAAGAAATTGAAGACAACTCACGCACAGGGGGAAGTTGGAGCTGAGAGCCTTGATTAAGTTGTTCCTACATTTGTTATGCCAAAAACGCCAGAAGGGTTATTTTTATTTATCATCTGCCAGAGCTGTACACGGTACTTCTCAGAGAAATAGGACCGTTCCTTGCCCATAGACCTGCCAGTCTACATGAGGGACGAGACACACAAGTCAGATTATAAAATACAGGATGCAAATTAAGAAAATTGTGTTGCACAGTTTCACAGGTTTGTCACGGTAGTGCAAATTTTAACATTTCCTTCTCCATGCCCCTCTGGATTTTCCCTTTACTCATGCTTACAGCTAGTTAGCTTTTGCCCAATGCATGGGGTTCCAAGGTTTTATCCAAAAGACAAACACACACATATACACACACACACGTCCTGTGGTTCTTGCCTCCAGTCTGGAGGTTGCTGTGAGCTGCACGTCTCAGGGAATCTTCAAATTCAACCCAAATCATCCCCTATGGACTACAAATCCCAGCATACAATGCGCCTCCTGCAACCTACTATGGGGGAGGCTATAAATCCCAACATGCAACGCTCCTTGCTCTTTACCCCTCCACCCCACCCCATGGTCTTCTAATGCTACACTGTAAAGCGTCGTTGGCCTATACGACGCTATGATTAAGTTGTGCTGTTGCATGCTGGGATTTGTCAGTCTTTGGAGGCCACCACCACTCTACGGAGACGAGGCCATTCCTGTTGGAGATCCCGCTTCGCCTCTTCTCCCCCCCTCCCTCCCCGCTTCGCGCGGTGAGTGGCTGAGGTGGCCGTTACCTCTGCCCTTTGCCCCTTGACCGATCTGCGCCGCTTCCTGCCGCAGCCTAAGATGGCGGCTGAGGTGGACTTCGGGGATCGCGAGCTCTTCGAGCAGCTGGACGGTGACGAGGCGGCCGCCCCGACGACGCAGCCGCTTCATATCCGCTTCGAGGAGGATGAGGAGCTGGAGGAGGCCGGGGAGGCGCTGCGGGAGCGGCTGAGGGACTCCGAGGAGATGGTGCGGCAGTTGCGGTCCGAGAATATCCTGACAGGCGGGATCTGGGCCTGGTTTCGGTTCATCCCCGAGCAGGGAATAGCCCCAACCGCGGTCTGCTTTCGCCCCTGATGCTGGTTCCCATCCTGCGCAGCCTTAGTCCCTGCTTCTCCGGGGCCAGGGCTGCTGGGTTGAGGAGTCTCCCTGGCCCATGAGGCACAAAACCCTTCAGCTCCAATACTGTCCCCCAAATAGGGTGACCGACAGGAAGTGTGGAAAATCCGGACGGAGTGGGGGGTAATAGGTGCCTATATAAGACAGCCCCAAATATCAGGACTATCCCTATAAAATTGGGACATGTGGTCACCCTACCCCTTCCCTACTGCTGGGGTAGGGGCAGGGGTCTCTCCCTCTCACCTCCCATGAACGCTTCACCGGGGTGGGGGGCTTGGTACTCAGTGATCACTGAGTCTAGTTTGGGTTTTGCGTGTGAGTTCTGCCATCCCAGTCAGGTTGTGGTGATTTTAGTATGGGGCTGTGTCAGCTGGGCAATAACATAAAGTGTGGCTTGATGAGCTGTTTAAAAATCTCCTTTTAAAAAAAATAAGTGATCCTAACTCAAATCATCATTGTTTGAAATAAGTCTGGATTCCCAGGGATATTGGATGTTTGAGTAAAGAAAAAAGGTTGCTGACTGGTCTGAAGAATGAGGAGTACTTGTGGCACCTTAGAGACTAACACATTTATTTGGGCATAAGCTTTTGTGGGCTACAACCCACTTCATCAGATGCATGGAGTGGAAAATATAGGAGCAGGTATAAATACATGAAAGGATGGGGGTTGCCTTACCAAGTGTGAGGTCAGTCTAATGAGATAAGTCAATTAACAGCAGGGTACCAAAGGAGGAAAAATAACTTTTGAAGTGGTAATGAGAGTGGACCACGATTTTGAGGCTGTCTCAAGCTTTGACCATTTAAAAGATTATTTTTAGTTTGAAGGGATGGATGCAGTGCTCTCCTTGTTCTGAGTTACTTTTTAATATTTTTTTTTTTTTGCATTTTCTAACTTTGTCATCCCAAAAAATGGTAAACCAGTAACTTGAAGAGCTATTATTTTTAGATACATTTAAATGAAATAGTTTTTGTGCAGTCCTTTCATCATATGAGGGTGAGAGATGTGGGTTTGGTCAGTTTTATTTGAGTAATTTTAACTATAGCTTCTGCCATGGGAGTGCTGTGTCATCCAGAGTAGATGCCTATCAAGTAGGGACAAAATACCATCAGTAACAGAACTTTTCTGTAGTGCATATTGTGAGTTACTGTTTGTAAAGAGACAATTTTCCCTCTTTTAACCTGCTTTTCACACTCACTTTGTTCTAGCCCTCTAAATTAATTTTTTTGGTTGGTGAGTTTATGAATGGCTTTATACAGTGTGGTAAACTAAGTGAAAGAGCCTAAAATCCTGTTTGCTGTTCAGTACAACTATTGTAAGAGCGGATTCTTTCTTAAAGTGGTATACTTTGATTCTAATGATTAATATAGAGGAAACAAGTATTCCTTGACAAATAATTAACATCAAGAACTTAGAAGAAAACTGAAGATTCTGACACGACCAAGGTATGTTAACACTGACTTTCCAAGTTGGCACACTAAGGCAATTGTGTATTGTAGACATAAAATCGACCTATGTTAGGCCAACTTACAGCCACAGCAGCAATTACTGCAGTTTTTCATGTTCACACTACCCTTCTGTCGGTGGTAGACGTCTTCACCAGGAGCACTTACACCAGGGCTGAAAGTAAGTTAAAGGACTTACCGGTACGCCGGAGTCCTGAGCAGAGGTGTGGCCTCAACCGGAAGAGGCGGGGTCTTTAAATCACTCTCGGAGCTACCAGCTGCAGAGGCGGCTGGGAGCCCCGGGGCTCAGACGCGATTTAAAGGGCCTGGGGCTCTGGCCGCCGCTACCGCAGCGGAGCTCCGAGCTCTTTAAATCATCAACGGAGCCCTGGGGCTCTGGCAGCCAGGCTAGGGCAGCGATTTAAAGGGCCCGGGGCTCCAAGCACTGCAGGGAGCCCCGGGTCCTTTAAATCGGCACCCCGGGGAAGCTGGTCTAGTCCGGACCGGCTTATTTTCACCTCTGGCTTACATTGACTTAAGAAGGGTGGTGGGGGGAGAATGGGGGTTTGAGAGCCCAGGCTCTCAGCTCCCCGCAGAGCTCCCAGCTGGAGCCCGGCTGCCACCCAGGGCTCTCCCAGCAGCAGCCAGGCTCCAGCTGGGAGCTCGAACTGAGAGCCTGAGTTCCCTGCAGAACTGGGAACTCTGCAGGGAGCCCACAGCTCAGGCTCTTAGCACTGGGCAGCAAGGTTCCAGCTGTCAGCACTGCTGGGGCTCACAGCTGGAACTCCCCCTCCTGCTCACGGAGCTGTCAGCCAGCCTGACCGCCAACAGGCAATGCAAGTAACGTAGTGTCTATACAGGCACTGCATCGCCTGAACTATGTTGACCTAAGCCTTATGCCTCTAGTCCATGTGGATTTACTATGTCAACATAGCGGGTGAGTTACAGCAGCGGGAGGAATGCTGTAGTGTGTACGCTTACATAGTTAGGTCGATGTAAGCTGCCTTACGTTGACTTAACTTTGTAGTGTAGACATGCCCTTAGTAATACAAGATCTAATCAATGAGTATATTTAACATAGATCCTTTCAGAGCACAGGTAGCTTGCCTAATCACCGTCTTATACACGAACACCATGAACATATAAAATTACCTTTTCTAGAAAAGGTTTCAGTTATTGTTTGTCTTTCAAATTATTGAGTTTCTAATATGCCTGAGCACTCTGGACACTATCTTTGTGCATTCAGACTTGAATATATAGTATTCAAAGATATCTTATCTTTTTATGTAAAAACTGTTGACATATCCTTTAGGAAAATAGATTTCTTTGAAATTGAGTAGCAAGAATTATCAGATCTGATAATCACTTTGACCTGTTAGAAATTTCTCACTGAATAAATACTAATTGAATACATATATTTGTGATGTTCTGTCAATTTTGAGTTAAACTGCAGCCTGTAGTATTTCTTACATGTGCCAATTAGTAGTAAAAGGAGAGCAGTAATAGTCTTTCAAGCAACTTATTGACATTTCCTGCTGCATTGCTTGAGGTGGAGAAACTGGATTTAAACCGAGGGAGAACTGTAGCCTAGAATAACAGAATGGGTGAAAAGCAAATGGCATTTGTTTTGGCCAAGCCTACCTGTGTCTCTGCCTTGGGGAAAGTGAGTCCCCTTGCCTAGTGGCATTGCTGTGATACATGCAGAAAGGGGGAAAAAGTAATTGCACAGTAACTTTACAGTATCTTTTTTTTCTTCTAGTGGACTTTCAGTGGACAGTTCTAAGTTAGATGGACCTTTGTTACAGATTTTATTTATGAACAACGTTATTTCAAAGTAAGTAACTTCCCCTGCTAATAAAGTGTCAGTCTAATTCCCTTTTAAGATGGCCGTTGTTTGGGATTTGTTAGTGTGCAATCGTGACATGTATTAACCAATCTATGGCTGTGTTACAACAGCCTAATATAAACATATTGTACCCTGGTTACTTATTCAGTTATAACAAAATGTCTTTAATATCCTGATTCCAACTGGTACATTACTTTCATGTAAGCCTGTTTCTAAATATAATTTTCTCAAACATACATATACTGAGGTATGTGTTAGTTAAATGGACACTGACAACTTGATGTTTTCAATTAAAATTTTTAAAAGGTGTTTGACAGAACATCCTTTAAGTTCTGAAATGGGTGTTTAGTGCTTATATTTAGAAGGGTCTCTTTAGATGGGCACAAGATTGGCAATACAAAATATGCTCAGGCATACCTCTCCTTCCCTTCCTTTTTATGCACGCACCTGTCTGCTGCCCTTTTTGTTTTCATTTTCAGCTCTGCTGCTGCTTTACTAATCACCATTTTGTCGGATTGAGGAAAATACGAGTCTAAGTTCCCCAGACCTCTGTGTTTGTGATAAGATGCTCATCTGACCACAATGTAGTGAAATAGACTATATACAAAGTGCTTTCAAATGCACAAAATGAACAAACTGAAAACTTTTTCTCTAATTTTAAGTATAACAAGGGTTACTTTTAACAGTTGTACGTACATTTTCAGATAGAAATGTCACTTATTTAAAAGTCGTTTGTGTCCCTTTTAAATATAGCTGCTACTGTTTTGCAGTATTATAAATAACAGAACTGTTAGATAAAACTATAAAGCCATCAGGAGTTTGGTTGTAAATAGTTACTAAAGGCTGAAATTTAGCATGCAGTCTAATATTACTAACTTCTTTGTTACTAGTATTGCAAAATTTTGAATGTTCTTTTTAATTTAACTTTTAAAAGGAATATTTTGAGTTGTCACTAACTTATTTCTCATTTAAAACCGTCATTAGACTTTTTCTCCTGTTCATATACATCACCTTAAAAAGAAAACATTTGAAAGAATCCATGAACTGATGCTTATGGTTTCTCTGTCAATTTTAGAGCAGCCAAATGAGTGTGAAAAGAAGTGTGAAGTATTGTAAAATCAGAAAAAGTTAGAGGAGGGGAATAACTATTTTATTTCTGTTTTTGTGTTTTCCTTGTCCTATATCCTACTTGGAGCCAGTTTGTAGTACTTTATCCAGTTTAGTTTAAGCATTCTAAGCAATGGGGCTTGTACCATTTTCCTTGAGGAACTGGTCTGTGGAATAGTTTCTCAAGTACAAAGTCTTTCCTGATGTTTAGCCAACATTTTACACTACTTACGCAAGTGTCCTTGGTAGTTACTTACATTGATTTATTGTAAAACCAGATTTTTGTTGTTCTAATCTTGATCTATCTATGTGGTTGGATATGTGGCATCCAGTTCCATATGCCTAATTTCTTTTCTACTTCTACTTGGTTATTTAATCCAGTTCTGAAATCCACAAAAACTATATTAAATAGCATGGTTGCAGTTTTGAATTTGCTTTTTAATATATTTGTATGTCTCTTTTCCAATTTATAGATGTGATATGTTGGTTACATCGGGGCAGCATGAAAGTTAGATTTACAAGCTGTACCTTAAGATGTACACATCTAACAATAAAAAGTTCAGGAATAAAATTCTTATCAGTGTTCAAAATTTATAATTTCAGTTTCAGGAATCTCTTAAAATATACACATGCAGTCTGTTGTATTCTCTTATTTCTACCTTTTGCAGGCAGTATCATCAAGAAATTGAGGATTTTATTTCTAGTTTAGTTCAAAAATATGAGGAGCAACAGAGAGCTGAACCAGAAAGGACCCACTTCAATGTTAAGCCTCAGGTATATAAGTTCAAAGAATATAGACCTCATTTGGACTACTGTGTGTAATTCTGGTCTCCCATGTTTAAGAAAGATGAATTCAGACTTGAACAGGTGTAGAGAAGGGCTACTAGGATTATCAGAGGACTAGGAACTCTATTTTATGAGACAAGACTCAAAGAGCTTGGTTTGTTAAGCCTATCCAAAAAGAAGGCTGAGGGAATATATGATTGCTCTCTATAAATACATCAGAGGGATAAATACCAGGGACAGGGAGGAGTTATTTAAATTAAGTGCCAATGTGGAAATAAGAACAAATGGAGATAAACTGGCCATCAGCAAGTTTATGCTTGAAATTAGACAAGGATTTCTAACCATCAGAGGAGTGAAGTTCTGGAACAGCCTTCCAAGGGGAGTAGTGGGGTAAAACTTAACTGGCTAAAAATGAACTTGATAAGTTTATGGAGAGTGTGGTATGATGAGACTGTTTACAATAGCACGTAGCTGATCTGCGACTGCTAGCAGCAAATATCTCCAGTGGCTGGTGATGGCACATTAGATGGGGAAGGCTCTAAGTTACTATAGAGAATTCTTTCCCAGGTGTCTGGCTGGTGGATCTTGCCCACATCTTCAGAGTCTAACTGATCGCCATATATGTCGTTGGGAAGGAATTTGCTCCGGGTCAGATTGGTAGAGATCCTGGGGTTTTTTTGCCTTCCTCTGCAGCACGGGGTATGGGTCACTTGCAGGTTTAAACTAGTGTAAATGGTGGGTTTTCTGTAACTTGAAGTCTTTAAATCATATTTTGAGGACTTTGGTAACTCAGCCAGAGGTTATGGGTCTATGATAGGAATTGGGTGGATGAGGTTCTGTGACCTGCAATGTACAGGAGTTCAGACTAGATGATCGTGATGGACCATTCTGGTTTTAAAGTCCTAGTTTATAGAAACAATGGTTTGGGTTTTTCCCCCCCCCACTTTTTTGGTTGTAATATCACACTGCTAGTTTATCTGAATTACAGAAATTTTTTCCCTACTATTTACAAATGGTATATTTTTCTCAAATCTTTTTGGAAGGAGAATTCTTTCTGTGTCCTGCAGATAGTTCATTAACTATGACTTCCTTTGCCTTGTTTCACTTAACTGGCCATTTATCTTCACCCTCTCCTCCCAACCCTCCCTTTTCTTCTTGCCGTCCCAGAGGCTGAGCATGTTTCCTCCACAGCATTCCCAGCCCATGACACCAAGGTTCTAGATACTAGAAATCAAAGCCATGTCACCTCTTGGGTTGTATACAGTATTACCACTAGTCTACAAGTCTCATACTTAATATACTAGCATGTGGTTAGTTTGTGTGTACGTGGCAATGAAAAGCTGGAACCAGCAATTATATCATCTGTGTTTTATTTGCAGCAATTAAGGAGTTTTTTGTTTTGTTTTTTGGCTTTTCATATTAGCCATCCAGTGTTCTGTTGGAAGAGGACCATAAAGTGACAAGTTCGAATACAATAAAAAAAATTAAGGAAGCTTTCAGTGTAAGTTAAACTTTATATTCTTCACTGGTCGTTCCAAATAGTTCCAAAGTTCTATTCTTTCTTTTAGTCCACAATGTCATTATAAAAAGATATGCAAGGTTTTAGCAATATAACTGATGGACTTTATTGGAATTCATGATGCTTTAGCTGCATAATACTTGGAAAATTTACTATATGTACATTCAGAAGGCATGGAGGGATGTTTTGGTTATGTTTAAATCCTTAAATAGGAAATAAACTATTTTAGCTAATTTTTGTACAACTAATTACATTATTTTGAAATATTAAAATACTGTGCCTTTCTAATATTATCAGTTAATCTGATTGAAATACTGACAATTTTCTGGCTCTTTCAACAGGTTGTAGGAAGTGTTCTATATTTTACCAATTTTTGTCTTGATAAACTGGGACAACCTATATTAAATGAAAATCCACAGCTGACAGAAGGATGGGAAATACCTAAGTATCCTGTTTAGTAAAATGAAGTTCCTTTTTCTGTTTATATAACCAAATAACACAATCGGACATAAAGTTGAGGTTAAAACTTTTTCTGCAATTTTTTTTTTAAACTATGACAGTCTGCTGGGTCATATCAGTGTTTTCTGACATCAACTGAACTATTATTATTACTATTATTTCAAAGTTTTAAAGTAGTTGGATGATAGATGTCTAATATGGTTGACTTGTTCATTGAAGGAATCATGTTCTGTATGAATGAATGTTTCATTCCCGTAAACATGCTCTGCTGTCAATCCAAAAATTGCTGTTGGGACCACATGTCACAGGATCTGGAATGACTGCTTACTCCAGAAATGTTGGCTATTTGCTTCTATAAAGCAATTTATTTAAAGTGGTGAGGAGGGAGAGCTAACAATCCTAAATGTACTCTGTGGTGTTTTGACTAAATTTTAACTACATCTTGAATTTTTTTTGGAGAAAATGAGTCCTATTTAAGCAAAGAATATTTTAGTCCATTTTTCCAGTTGCTCTCTTCAGTATTTGAGAGCCAGAACTCAGGTAGAACATCCTTATTTATGTGATAGTTCTTAATTTGAGAAGGACAAACATACAAACAGAAATTGGACTCTCTCTCTCTCTCTATAGATAGATATATAGATAGATATATAGATAGATATATCAATATATAAACACTTAATACTCTTCTCTTCTGCTTCCCCTTCACTTCCTGCCCCATAAGAAGGCCAAAGTCTGTTTAAAGCTCCACAAAGTATTTCTAGGATCTCTAAATTTTGTTAGGCCTGTAGTAAAGGGGCACATTCACAGTCCAGAAGCCCAAAATGTCTACCCTATTGCTTTACAGTTCTGTAAATGATTCAATAATTTAAAGTGTGCCTGCAGTGAGTGAGAAATCCCATCTGTTTAGTGGGCCAACCTGGGTTTGTTGTCTGCCTTTGACTGCATACACATCACATTATAATTTGCTCTTCCTGTCATCTGCTTTCTCGTAAACTATCAGGAAATTGAAATTAGCCCAGCTTCTCTACTATTTAGTACTTTAGAGGCTAGGGTTCTGGTCAGTTTAAATATTTTAGTGGCTTCCAAGAATGTAGCTACATGAAAGAAAAGGATGATTTGATGTGGCTGACAGTAAGGGAGTGGGGGAAGACTTGCAGGGGGTATGGAGAAATGCAAAGTGGGGTTGGAATAAACCTTTGGGTCTGTCAACCTTGACATTCTCTTTAAATGTATCTGTTGCATTTTTTTTCCAGAGATCTGCTTACATATATAAAGGGTGACATTCACCTTAATTTAGCTTCCAATGGCGAGGCCAAAGGAAGACTCCCTTTAGGATTACCCGATGAAGCTTCTGTCTGTTTTGGCAGGTGGCAATATGTACTGAGTAAGTCAAGCTTTCAGGTGGGGACTCCTCTGTACAAATATTTCAGTGAATAAGTTTGTAGTGGACTACAATTGGAATTGATTTTTGTAACTTGCAACTAGGGCTGTCAAGCAATTAAAAAAATTAATTGCGATTAATTGCACTGTTAATAGAATACCGTTTATTTAAATTTTGGATGTTTTCTACATTTTCAATTATATTGATGTCAATTACAACACAGAATACAAAGTGTACAGTGCTCACTTTATATTTATTACAAATATTTGCACTGTAAAAAAAAAAGAAATAGTATATTTCAATTCACTTAATACAAGTACTGTAGTGCAATCTCTTTATAATGAAATTGAACTTACAAATGTAGAATTATGTACAAAAAATAATCATTCAAAAATAAAACAATGTTAAACTTTAGAACCTACAAGTTCACTCAGTCCTACTTCAGCCAATTGCTCAGACCAACAAGTTTGGTTACAATTTTTAGGAGATAATGCTGCCCACGTCTTGTTTACAGTGTCCCCTGAAAGTGAGAATAGGCGTTCATATGGCACTGTTGTAGCCGTTGTCACAAGATATTTATGTTCCAGATGCACTAAAGATTCATATGTCCCTTCACGCTTCAACCAATTGCTAGCGATCCAAAGCAGAGCAGACTGACACATGTTCACTTTCATCATCTGAGTCAGATGCCAGCAGCAGAAGGTTGATTTTCTTTTTTGGTGGTTTGGGTTCTGTAGTTTCTGCATCAAAGTGTTGCTCTTTTATGACTTCTGAAAGCATGCTCCACACCTCATCCCTCTCAGATTTTGGAAGACACTTCAGATTCTTAAACCTTGGGTCGAGTGCTATATTTATCCTTAGAAATCTCACAGTGATACCTTCTTTGCATTTTGTCAAATTTGTTGTGAAAGTGTTCATAAAACGACCATGTGCTGGGTCATCATCCGAGACTGCTGTAACATGAAATATATATGGTAGAATGCAGGTAAAACAGAGCAGGAGACATACAGTTCTCCCCCAAGGAGTTCAGTCACACGCTTAATTAATGCGTTATTTTTTTAATAAGAATCATCACCATGGAAGCATGTCCTCTGGCACGGTGGCTGAAGCATGAAGGGGCATATGAATGTTTAGCATATCTGGCATGTAAATACCTTGCAGTGCCAGCCATATGAACGCCTGTTCTCAGTTTCAGGTGACATTGTAAATAAGAAGCAGTCAGCAGTATCTCCTCTAAATGTAAACAAACTTGTTTGTCTTAGCAATTGGCTAAACGAAGTAGGACTGAGTGGACTTCTAGACTCTAAAGTTTTACATTGTTTTCTTTTTGAGTGCAGTTATCTAACACAAAACCCCCTACATTTGTAAATTACACTTTCACGATAAAGAGATTGCACTACAATACTCGTATGAGGTGAATTGAAAAATACTATTTTTGTTTATCATTTTTACAGTGCAAATATTGTAATAAAAATAATATAAAGTGAGCACTGCACACTTTGTAGTCTGTTATAATAAAATCAGTATATTGAAAATGTAGAAAAACATCCAAAAATACTTAATAAATTTCAATTGATATTCTGTTGTTTAACAGTGCGATTAATCGTGATTAATTTTTTTAATCGCAGTTAATTTTTTTAAGTTAATTGCGTGAGTTAATTGTGATTAATCGACAGCCCTACTTGAAACTTATTAGTGAGGATGCACTTGTAGCTTAACCCATGCAGACATTCTTCTGTATCAAGTACTATCACTGTCAGTTAAAAAAAGATTGAAATTCTGCTTTGTACAGTAGCAGTTCCTTATTGAAATCTAAGATACCAGCAAGTTTTCAGCCAGATTCTCTCTCTGGATGGTCAAGAAATACAAGTAAAAGCAAAAAGGTTTGTATTTATCTTAACTATAAAGTTTTTCAGATTAAAAACTTTAAAATGTGCATTGTGACTATTAAAGGGTCCAGTATGTGGGGGAATAAATTGCTTTTTATAATCCTAAATTAAGTTAACAATATTGAATTTTGCACTAGAAAAGGTTTTTGGGTTGGTTGTTTGGAATATAGGATGCTCAAAAAAGAGGCAGTCAAATTAATGTGTAAGAAAAATCTGTTTCTAAACTAACTGGTTTTGTGCTTTGCTCTCTTTATAGCTAGCATTTTTTTTTAATAATTTGCATTGACGTGCTGTCACATAGCTTTTGTTCTATGCAGCATTTTGTATTTGGTCTGTTTTCTCTGCATTTAATAGAAAATGATCTTGGAGTAGTTTGTGTAGCCATTGTGAGGAAAAGTAGAATTACAGCAGAGTGGTAACTTTGGAAATTCCAGATGACCCTAGTCTGCCTAGTTTTTCCAGCATCTGAAATACCTTATTTCAAATGCAAATAGTAGGCACGGAGGCAAGTTCAGTTAAGCTTCCCTATAATCTACTGCATTCTCAAGTGAAATATTATGTTTTGAAAGAAAAGCAGATTTGCAACCATGCTTCACTGTGGATACTTCTAGATGGTGGATAAAGTATTCTGAGAGAACAATTTGCATCAAATCTGTTTGAATCATACCTTCTGAGAAAACAAATATGCCTCCCCCTTCTCCTTCAAGTCCGTCATTAAAAATGAACCCCTTTTAAGAGACTTAAAACCTAGGTTATCCTTAGGGTTGCCAATTTTGGTTGGACATGTTCCTGGAGGTTTCATCACATGACATAGTCTTTAATTTGAAGATTAATCTTTAATTCCTGGAGACTCCAGGCAATCCTAGAGGGTTGGCCGCCATGGTTGTCCTCTTTATCCACTCTCCCTTATCCTATTGGTAAAAGTGACTGCACGCACACAGGGAATTAACTAATCAAATGCTTAAAGGGACACGAAATTTAAACTTGGCCCAAATATTAAATCTTTTGAAAACCAGCCTTTTAAAAATCAAATATCAATAGAAACGCTTCTGTGATTTAAAAAAAAATTCCAAGAACTGTTGTTTTTAGACAAGTTAGTATGATCTTGCAGCATTTCAAACCTAAGCACTGAAACATTAAGAACCTGAAAGTGAATCTGTGACAACAAACAAAATTGAAACTGGCTTCAAATTTCATTTTCCTAGATGAGAGAAATTCAAACCATGAACTGAGCATATTAGCAAGTAAATGAGATTTCTAAAATGTTCTCTAATAATATAATAATAATAATAATAATTAATAAATAATCCAGAGTGGTGGTATAGCATCTGAAAATAATTGTTTACAGCATATCTATGAAGTTGATGGTGTCCTTTTAACTGAATTCTTCAACTTACATCCCTTTTATAATTCTTCTCTCCCTTCCATCTTTTCCTCCCAACCTTTGTGTTGTCCGCAGGGAGCGTGGAAGCTCCTTGTAAATGGGGGAGCAGAGGGGAGGTACTGAGACCTGGCAGGTGGGGAGCTGGCTCCAGGCTGGGAAGGAGGATCCCAGGGTTCCTACTGGATCCATTCCAGTCCCTCCAGGTCCTGCTCCCCCACTTGATCCCAGGTGTCACCACAGCCTCTCCATCCACTCCAGGTCCTGCTCCCATCCCTTCAGCGGCCTCTCTAGTCCCAGGGAGTCCTATTCCCACCTCCATGCCTCTTCCCCTCCCCCTGACATACATGAGTTCGCAGGGGGGCAGAACCCCCACAATACTTCCTTGCAGGGTTGATAGCCCCCTATAGCCCTGGCTGTCTAGATTGTAACATCCGTGGGGCAGAAACCTGACCTTACCTTGCTAGCTATTTACAAAGCAGCTAGCACACTATTGACATTATACAAATAGTCTATATAATTTTCGTTCAAAATACTTCAGTCAAAGGAAAGAGAGTTCATTAATAGTCACTATCTTCCTAAGGGGACAAAATCTAATTTCTGTCTGGAAATATTACTTACTTCAAGCTTTATCGTTTCAGTTTGTTTATTTTCTGCATTTGACAGTGCTTTATGTGGCTTTCTCCATAATTAGTTTCTCGTGTTTCACCCGACAGCAACAAACATTATTTTTTTAAATAGGAAAATTTGTTTTTTTGTGTTTTACTACAAAAATTGTGAGGAAGATGCATGTTTAGGTATAGTACACAAGTTACTTTACAGTTTTCTTAAAACTGAATATATTTCAAGTTAATGTAAATCTCTGCATGTAATAGAATAATGAAGAATAAGTATGCACTTCAAAAGTACATTTTAAAGGGATAAACTTACAATATAAATTTATTTTAGTGCTTTCCTTAAACAGGCCAAAACCTCATTGTTTCAATTGTGGTTCTGAAGAGCATCAAATGAAAGATTGTCCAAAGGTAAATTTTTCCTCGATATCCGAAAGATTGCCTCTGAGTTACCCAAAATGTATTCCTGTGTAACAGGACATTTGTGAGAATCAGAAGAATCATATTGGTCATGATCTTTTATTAAAGGTCAATAACTGTATGTATATCTGTCACAGTTGTAACTTCAGAGATTTAAATCAGTATTTTAAATGAACCTGTCATAGTATAATAGTTTGATCACTCCTTTTTAAAGAAAAGTCTCTTTACATGTTTCTAGCTTTCCCTCTGAAGCTGGCAGATTTCTAAAGTACACTGGTTTTGTTTTTATTATAACTTCCATTCAGTGGAACACTGAGCTGGCCTTGGTCTTGTGATGTAAGATGTGTTCCATGCCCTTGACATGTAACTTTCAGGCAGCTTTTAATAACTTGTCAAGTATCAGGGAGTAGCCGTGTTAGTCCGTATGTACAAAAACAACAAGGAGTCTGGTGGCACCTTAAAGACTAACAGATTTATTTGGGCATAAGCTTTCGTGAGTAAAAACCTCACTTCTTCGGATGCATAGAGTGAAAGTTACACTCTATG